GGCAGCCCACAAGCTCTGGGTAGGGAACACTAGGCTCAAAGGGCTCGTTGGGAAAAGGGTCGGTGAGTCTGTGGTCTACTGCAAGAGTAGTGGGTTGTGTGTTAGAGAACTGAAACCCGAACCGCTGAAGGACCTGCTGCACCATGTGTGACTGGGTCAGTGTGATGGTGCGAGCGGCTTTGTCCCTAGTGATATGCAGGCCAAGGTAGTGCTGCAGTTCACCGAGGTCAGTGCATGTGTGTCTCTTCTGCATTTCGAATTTCATCTTAGCCAGTGCCACCCTGTCTGGTGTAGCGAAGACCAAGTTGTCAACGTAGACAAGTATAAAGAACGGAGTGGAGCCAGTATGGACAATCAGCGATGGGTCGGTAGAAGAAGGACGAAACCCAAGGCCACGAAGCGTGGAGAAAAGAGTGTCGTGCCACCCGCGAGGCGACTGGCGGAGACCGTAGACGGGTCGTCTTAGGCTCCAATGGGTCCTAGGTGGGAAAGTGCCAGTGAATCCAGGAGGACGTCATAGCCAGATCTCCTTGTGCAGACGACCCTAGAGAAAGGCAGTGAAGAAGTCGAAGGAGTGCAGCTCATAGTTTCGCATTGCTGCTACATAAAGTAACACCCGAAGAGTAGTCATCTTCGAGGTCGGGGCGAAGGTCTAGAAGAAATCAACCCCCTCATGCTGACTGAACCCCCTAGCCACGTAGCACGCCTTGAACACGGGCGGTGATCCAAGCGGTCGCTTCACCTTGAAGAGCCACATACCATCAACAATGTTTCCCCTAAAAGGGGGAACTGCGTCGACGTAAGTGCCTGTGGATCTTCAGGACGCCATCTTTGAGTCCATGGCCACTTTCCACTGAGAAGCCCACTACCCTGACACTGCCTGACGGTACGTGCAAAGAACGGATATGTCAAGGGCGTTGGGGTCTCCCTCAGGAGAAAGCTGCATGGCACAACATTGGGGAGAAGCGGCTGCCAAGAACTCGAGCTCAAACTTCCGATCCTTTAGCACGTCACACCCAAGGGCAAACTCACCCCCCACTGACAGAGGACGAGCAGGCGAAGCAGCCACCACGCGGGTGGCGTAGTCAAGGCGGCGAGTGGCGCAAAAGTCACTAAAAGCAACAGTAAGAGCCGAGAGAGACGACGGAGAGGCACGAGGGTTCGTGACTAGAGAGGCAAGAACATGTGTGACAACAGGATGGGTGGTACAATAGTAGTCAGTGATAGGGGTAGAGGTGGAGGATGTAAGAGACGACTCGGGAGGTGACAGGAGAAGAGACTGAGGCGGAGAACGACGAGGACTGGAGCGAAACAAGACAGTGTGGAGGTCGGCGAAAAGAGATGAGGGACGAGCACGTGGAGGACAACGAGTGGTTCACTCGTGCGGGACAACAGGCAGAGGTGAGTGTGACTGAGGAGGAGAGAAAATAGGAGGAAACGTGGGACCATACACGGTGGGAGACTGTGAGCGGACAGGAGGAGGAGAGGGAAGACCTCGGGCCCAAAGACCACTCACAGGTAGGAACAGCTGCTGCAAGAGAGGCGGCTGTTGCGGCTGCTGCTGCTGCTGCTGCTCCTGTTGCTCCTACTGGTCAAGCAGCTGCAGCTCCTGCCTAACCTGCTCCAACCGCTCCTGCTGCTCGCGCTCAAGCGGACTAAGAGCCTGAACACACGTGTCATAGCGGTGGGGAGGCGCAGCAAGTGCGGTAGTAGTAGTGCCTCTAGCTCCAGTGGCCTCAGAATTAGCACCTCCAGTGCCAGCACCACCTGCTCTACCACCTCAAGAACCACAACCTCCAGGGTAAAAAACTACCGCTCCAGCTTCCCCCAAAATAGCACCTCCTGTGTAAGCGCCCCCAGCTCCAGCACCTCCCGAACTAGCACCTCCTGTGCCAGCACCTCTCCAGCTCTAGCACTCCCCGAGCTAGCACCTCCAGTGCCAGCACCTCCAGCTCCAGCACTTCCTGAGCTAGCACCTTTAGTGCCAGCACCTCCAGCTCCAGCACTCCCCGAGCTAGCACCTTTAGTGCCAGCACCTCCAGCTCCAGCACTCCCCAAGCTAGCACCTTCAGTGCCAGCACCTCCAGCTCCAACACTCCTCGAGCTAGCACCTCCCGTGCAAGTACCTCCAGTGCCAACACCCCCAGCTCTAGCACCTCCCGAAGTAGCATCTTTAGCGCCAGCACCTCCAGCTCCAGCACCCCCTATTTCAACTGCAACCTGTCGCGGTAGTTCCGAAGGCTGCTGAGGTGTGGCACGCAGCCGAACCTTGACGCAGGGAGTGCACAGCGGCGCAAACGAGGGAAGGAGCGACGCAAAGACTCGTGGGAGACCCGAGAAAAGACGCTAACTAGCCATGTTGCAGAGTCGGGGGAGGGATCGGGGGGGGGGGGGGGGGGGGGGGGGGGGGGGGGATGGGCCAGGGCGAAGCGTGCTGCTCTAGCTGGGGCACACGGCTGGCTAGGGGCGCGCGTGATAGGGCTGGGGCACACGCTGCTGGCCAGGGCGCACGCTGCTGGCTAGGGGTGCGCGCGGATGGCTGCTGGTGCGCGGCTCTGGCTGGGGTCGCGCGCTGCAGGCTAGGGGCGCGCGAGTTGGTTGGGACGTGCGCGGCTGGCTGGGGCACACGCTGTTGGCTGAGAAGCGATCTACGGCTAGGATGGCGGGCTGAGGCGCCACGGCGGGCGAAGGATGGCCTACTGGCTGGAGGGAGTAAGGGGAGAGGGAGGAACCTTAGGACTATAGTGCAACTTAGGCCTCGGAAGCTTCCTAGCTTGATGTTATCTCAAGAGTGTAAGGAGATACAAGTGTTAACCTAGAAAGTGTTGTACCCATTAAAGGACAACTCACTGTAGCCTAGAATAACTAACATTATCTAAATGAATATAAACATTTGACATCCCGTCCCAAGAGTCCCAAGGTTTTCCACTAAGCGTGGCTCTTGGTACATGAATTCAATCCAGCCCACATGGGAAATGGTAGCATCAGTACAGTCAACTTCTCTTCTCATACAACTTTCGTACACATTTTTTTAATATGGTATTTACAAAGCTCCGAAGTGAATCTTTGGCACACATGGACCACGCGGTCAGCCAAGTCTCACCTTAAGAAGGCCCACCATGGTCTTGGAAGGGGGGGTTCAAAATATTCTTCAACCTTCTTCTTGAGCAACCAAGCACCTGCGACCACCAGAAGAGTTGAAAGCCCCCCAACCACTGCATTCTCTAGCTCCTCCTCAGGCCTGCTGCCATTGCCCACCATGCTCCTTTGGCTGCTACGGCCAATGGCATTGTTAGTATTTCGGAGATTCCCCAAGTTCTCCCTGTGCTGCGTGCAATAGGCAGGCCGTGTCGGCTTGATATGTGGCTTCCCTGAGCAACCAATTGTGCTGCACCGATGCCTGCCCTTGCTGCTGCTCCTGCTCCTTCCCCTGCTGCTGCTGCTGCTGCTGCTGCTGCTGCTGCTGCTGCTGCTGCTGCTGCTGCTGCTGCTGCTGCTGCTGCTGCTGCTGCTGGGGATGCTGGGGCTGCTGCTGCCGCTAATATCTGGAGGATAAGACCTGCCGTAGGGGGAACGACGGGTGCTGTGCTTGGCACTGTTGACGCTACTCCAGCCACAGGAGCCGCCGGCGCAACTGCTGCGACTGTTGCACCGGATCCTGCTGCCATTTGGATGCCAATTTCTGCTCCCTCCTCTACTGTTTTCCCCTCGCTCGTTGCTGCTGCCGGCATGCCAGTGCGCGCAGCATCGCGGAAAAGACAAGGGCCAGAAGTGACGGAAAAGTGACTTTTCCGTCACTTCCCCGTATACGGTTTTCTGGGGTAAAAAGGTGATGGTTGGAAGTAACAAGCCCAATGTCACTTCCAAGGTGACGGGAATGTCACGGAAATGTCACGAGAAAGCTCCGTTTCCGTCACATCCAAAGTGACGACCCGGTCACCTGCAAGTCACGTACACGTCACAGGGGGGTTATCTCCTACGAACGACCGTCAAATGCCACAATTAGACACAATCTTATAGCGACCCGCCACGTGGCTCGCATGACGTCATCATTACAACACGTAAGTTACAACACAGTACAGTTCATGGCGCTTTGGGCCACTGTCCCATCCAACCAACTGCCTTCACGTGGATGACCACGATCACCCTTTGTTTGCACACTCCGCATCCAATGCTCATGCGCCATCTCTCGATAAGCCCTGTCTCCCATTGGAAGAATTCCAATCCAGCACGTTGACTCTACACGGTGTACACCGCGGATGACGTTGAAATATGACAAGGTGTATGGCTGCAACTATGCTCATGATGACTGGACAGGTCACCGACCTCTACATCCGACCGTCCACGTAACCACGCATCGACGATGCCTCACAGACGACATCACGAACCATATCCCAGCAGTGTCAACGTGTACTTATTCCTGTCCGTGGATAGTCGCCCACGTGGACGGCCTACACATTGCATGGAGCCACCGATGCAGGCCCACTTGTCATGCCCCCGACCGTCCATGAGACCTGTAGTCTACGGCACTCCGCGCCCCTATGCACGTGCATCCATGGCTCCAGTTGGTTTAGGGTCTAGCTATGCACAGCCCCACGATAAGATGGGGTGGACCGTCACAACCCGAATCGCGGTCCCAATCTAGCCGCATCCAACGGCGCACATCCGAATCGCGTTCGATGTTGGTAACTCTACGCTACTGGCCGCATTTGTCCGCGTCATCATACGTTCCGCAGAATGGTTGACGGGTTAGGTGTACCCCTGCTCACGGGCAGACCTCATTCCTCGTACACCTATTATTGTTCCTTCGATGTTTAAACCATTTGTCATTAATCCCTCTTACATGTATCGTGGCCTATCCAATACCCTCAATCAGACCCTTCTCCACCGGCACACTTCCGTTCACAGACAACACCACACCATAAGCATTAGACATACGGTGCTCCTCCACTTCTCTGCACCGCGACGCTGCCAAGCAACACCGTGCGTACGTCATCCGATTATGCCTGCGGAGTCCCGCGGCTGGCGCTAGCCTCCACGCTCACCGCGTCGGCAGCCGCGATGCCGTCCGCCGAGATGCGGAGACCATGACAGCCCCATGCCCAGCTCTGGGACGTCGCGTCATACTCGGGCCGGAACTCCGCGATGGTCCGAGTAACAGCAGCCTTGACGAGGACGTGCAGGCCGTCCACGATCTGCGCGTTGGAGCCCGCAGAGTTGGAGAAGCGACCTTGGTGCGACCTCGGTGACCTGCGCACGGCAAGCCACATACGATCGGAGATATGGACACTCTCCCTGTTATCTATAACTCTGTAATGCTGCACAGTCTTGACGTACCACGTGCTCCAGCCATGTCACGTGGTAGAGCTTCAGTGTTACGGTCCCGTTCACCATTCGTGGCTTGAACGCCGCCCGCGCTGCGTGCAGTAAACGCATCAGAGGCGAACAACATCCCGTTTCGGTCGCAACTCCAACGAGACGGTGCCAGCTTATCTGCCAGGTCAAACACACACCGCGTGCACAATGATCAACGGTGAGCCAAAGAGGTACAATGAACTCTCAGACGCACCGGTTGTGGCATCCCTTCCTTACCCGTGGCTACGTCTCCAAGGCTGACCCTATCTCGGATTCGGGACAAGGTGCGCCTCGAACGTGTCGCCCAGAGGCTTTTCATGTCTCGTTCGTGGCGAAATAGCCCAATCCTAGGCAACGAGATGTCCCGGACTCTCCCTGCCGCACTAGTCTTCCAGTCGCTGAACGACCTGTTTGGGTCAGCCACGAGTGCAAGGCTTGCATAGTTGGGGGTCAGGTTATCCACGACTGCGCAGATGGCCCAGGTCTTGGCTGCGCTGCTGGGGTAGAACGTCAACTGCAAGTTGGAGCGCCGAATGAACAGCTTGGTGCGAGCCTGCTCACATATTTCCTGCAATGTCAAACAACGCAACACGTCATCAACCTGCCAACATGATCCGCAGAGCGTACAACACATCCTCCATAGTATGCAACACGCCAACACTAGATTCGTACCTTCCACCCCTTGTCGGTCGGGAGGAGCTCGAGCGCCTCCTGCAGAATGGCAGAGGTGGAGTGTCGAATGTGGCCATCATCTCCCTCTTCGAACTCCCCCTCTTCCTCGGACGCCGTCTCGGACGTGGAGCGTGACCGCCGCGCCTTGCGGCGCTTTCCCTTGCCGGATCCGCGCTTCCGACGCCTCTTCCTCTTATTGTTGACGTCATCCCGGGGTTTCGCAAGGAACGCAGTCTCCAGCCTTGCAATCGCACGTGCCGTGGCTTCATGGAGCTCCCGCATGCTCTGCAGCTCCTCCCGCGTGACCGGTGTGTCATTCGGAGTACGTTCCGCGCCGGCGTGCGCCTCTTCCGCGTCGGCCTCAGCCTCATTGTCTGCTTCCGCATCATCCTTGTTCTCGGTGTCCACTGGGTTACGCCTGGGGAGAGCCTCATTGGGGTCGTCGTCCGATGATGGCGCCGGAGCTGCGTCAGGTTCCCTCTCCACACGTGCAGAACCCTCGATGACGTCTTGAACGTGACGTTTACGCCTGCGGCCCGCCGACCCGCCGGTTGCAGCCTCCTCGTCAATCTGCCGGCTGGACTGGGCAGACGAGGAGCTACTTTCGGACGTGCTCCCATGCGACATACACGAGTCCCGGCGAGTCCCATGAGAGGGTGTGACGGCTGCATCTCACACGCGGCATGCCAAAACGCACAGTACAAGGAGTACAACTCACAAGTAAGAACACCGTGTAAAACTGTCTAAGCGACTCTCGTCACAAAGACGAACGAACGAGAGCCATTAACAAATAGTAACGCATAACCACTCACGTGGAGGAGAGGGTGGACCCCGTGCCTGCTGCTCATTGACATTTTTCGGATTAGCCAGACGAGGTTTTTTCGTCATTTGACGCCTTACATTCCCAGGCAGAAGGTAAGAGTTTCGCAGGTAGGCAGGTGGTTGTGACACGCACTGACTCCTGCCCTCACGGGAGGACCCTGGTCCTGCTGTAAAACTGTCCATCGTGACAAAAAATGTGGGCAGGAATGAGTCCGTCCGACACGGTGTTCCCTACTTACGCATTCAGTGACCCACCCTCTACACGGCTGTGCTGTGCCCCCATATCCACGTGGCAAGCCCATGTCGGCCAGCTTGGATTCGTCATCTGGCGGGTTTTGCCCACATGGCACACTAGGGATGCAACGTTATCATCAGCACTCGTTATAGAGTCTCGTCAGTTAAGCTACCATGGTAGATCCTTGCAAGATTATCTGCACTACAACTGCAACACGCGTAAATATCCTCCCTGTCATGCATAAATGATATGAATCATGAAGCGATGTATTAGGCGCGACTCAAACAACTGCAAAGGGCGTAATCCATACACATCCTTTTCTATTACACATGAGGCAACGTCCCCTCACAACCATACACAGTATAAAAAAAAAAACATCCAGATGCCTATACACGTCTACCCACATAGTCACTGCCAACTATGGTGTCATCAGCCACTTCCAGTGTACCCCCCCGCACAGCTCATGTGTATGTATGCACTCCATATACTCTAGCCCTGTCTATGGCATCTCCTCGTCCACAACCTCCACCTCATGAACCATCCTGTCATCCCCGTCGTCATCACCACTGCTGTTGTCGCGCGAGCGAGCGCCAGTGTTCTCGAGGGGGAAGGGAGTACCAGGCGCAATGCTCAACTCTTCCATTGCTGTCCTCCACTGACGCCACCTCCACCACATTCGTGCCTTGACAAGATGCCTCACGTCGTCACGAACACACCCGAGAAGAAATGCCTTCTCCACGTCTGACATCTCCTAAGTGTGCGGGATGTGGTCCTTGCGCCTGATCACATATGCTGCCGCGGCATACGCATATGCCGCATCGTCCTCCACGGTATACGCTCCCAGCCTGATCTGCTGACCACTGCCAGGTCCGTACACCATCTTCATCCCCCACTTCCTGCCCCTTGGGCACCAACTCACCCCCGTCCAGCGACTAGATGCAGGCCGATTGCCGTAGGCGGCAAGCAAGCTGGTCTGACGCACTGGCCGCGCTGCAGCCCTCGGCCCCAGACGCGTGCTATACCTGGGAGTGCGCGAGAGGCTCCCTGGTGCTGCCGGAGTCGCAGGAGCTGCTTGATGATCCGGCTCCACCTTCGTGGGCTTGTCCTCTGTTGGTGACGGGTCCCTATGAAAGGTAGATGCACCATCGTTATGAACAGGAGCCAACGATGGCACCGGAATAGGGCTGGGGGTAGGATGGATGGTGATGCCGAGCGTCCGCATCGATGCAGCGTGATCCACGTGGTTCTTTGACGTGGACAGCACCAGCAGAGGCGTCCCGTGGGTCTGTAGCTCGTGGGCCGCTCCACTGAACAGTTGATCCTCTGAAATGCCAAGCGAACGTGCCAGACCCATGACCGCCGCACACACAACGTAACCCCCGAGCTCCATCCGGGTTATCATGCCTGACTGCTTCGCCAGGTCGGTACGAACTTCGTCCTCCTTGGGAAAGACAAGGGCACCATGTTCACCCAACTGTGGAAGAGGCTGAAAGAAAAACTCCACACCCTCCCCAAAGAGCTTGACAATAAGGTCATCTGTGGAGTGAAGTGACACCTCTGTGCGTAGCTGCCTCCGGTAGGCGTGAGACTTCGCGCCGTAGAACGTCATCCACTCCATGAGGATTGAAAAGCCGCATGAGACCAGTGCATGGAGATACATACACACATATACCCCACAGTCGACAGCGTTCGACTGTGTCGGGATGTCTTCTGGCTGCCAGAATACACACAACACGATAACGAACTCGTCAGTGAGGGACAACCCTGACTGGGCCCGCGTAGAAGCAACGTGATGAAATGCACTTACATGCATGATGGTGACTTCGGCATACTTCAAGTGGTCCGCAGCCTGCTTCCGGTCCGTTGTGGGCAGCTGAGCCTGGTGGAGCATGAGCAACATCCTGCCGAATTAGTTGATCTTAATAGTTAGTAAGGCATGAGGGAAAACATAACAGCTGCACCAGGGAAAACATAATAGGTTCACCACCCACTTCTTGACGCCTTCCATCACTTTCGGCTCCTTGGTGAGCAAATGTGCGCTATCGTAATGCACCAGCTCCACGCTGCCCTCTGCAGTCTCGGATAGCTTCCCACCCGCCATGACGCGAAGGTTCGTGGCTATCACCAGCAAGTAGTGGCCTCTGACACATGTACACATCGTGTATTTTAGGACGCCTTCCTTCAATAGCATGACAGTACAAATAAACTGACTTACTCGTAGTACACGGATATGGCGATGTAATCCTGGGCGAAAATACACGGTGCATTGCCAAGGGGCCAAGCCTTGTTCAGGGAGGTGGCGAACACAAACGCCTTCGTGTCGAGCGCGAACCATGTCTTTCCACCCTCCAGATTCGGATGTCGTGTGTTCAAAAGGCTGATACACAATGCATAGTTGCGAGACGGGTCGTCAGCATGCTCCGGTACGGGTAGAGGCTGAAGTAACCCTGCTTTTTTCTGCTTGCTACTCTTCATCCGCTGGCACGTGTCGCATGAGGTGACGAACTGCTGCACGTCTGCTGCCATCCGGGGCCAGTAGTAATACTTCGCTATTCCTGCTAACGTCTTGTTGCTCCCGAAATGTCCCGCGTAAGGTACGTCATGAAATTCCTCTAATAGGATCTGTCGTAGCGGGGCGTAATTCGGTACCCAAATCTTTCCTGAACCCTTCCTTACCGCTAAGTCTTTCTCCCATTGTAACAGCTTCTGTTTCTCTGCCGTTGCGATCTCGCCGTCCACGGAGTACCCATGTTGGAACAGACCCTTGAGCAGAGGGTTCATCCCGTCGAGCTGGATGCCTGCTACATGACCGGGGCGGCTCAACGCGTCAGCTTTGTTGTGGAGCCCGGGTTTGTAGACGATGTCGTAGTGGAAGTGAGTTTCCAAGAAATCCACCCACCGCACCTGTCGTCGTGAGAGCGTCGGCTGCGATTTTAGGTATTTGAGACTGCAGTGGTCAGTGTATACTGTGGTCTTGGCTCCCTCTAGGTAACACCTCCACGCCTTGAAGGCTACGACTATAGCTAAGGCTTCCTTGTCGTGAATGGGGTAGTTCAGTTCTGCTCCGTGTAACTTCTTACTGAGGTAGGCGATAGGCTGTAAACCGTTCCCGTGATCCTGCATCAGTACTGCTCCGACTGCCTGGTCACTAGCGTCCGCTTCAACTACGTAGTCCTTGTCGGGGTCCGGTAGGATGAGTACTGGCGCTGTGGTCAGTGCTGTCTGTAGCTGTTCCATGGCTTGCTGATGAGGAGTATCCCATCTGAAGGGCGTATCCTTTTTCAGTAGGTCGGTCAGTGGCGCTGCTATCTTAGCGTACTGCGGCACAAACCTGTTGTAGTAGTTGGCGAAGCCGAGGAACTGCTGCAACTCTTTCACGTTTTCCGGAACCTTCCACTTTTTAACGGCTTCGATTTTCCGCGGGTCCACGTGCACGCCCTTGGCACTCACCATGTGCCCGAGAAACTGCACTTTCTCCAGTGCGAAGTCGCTCTTTGACAGCTTCACGTAGAACTTATTCTTCCGCAGGATTTCGAACACCTTCCGCAGATGCTCCACGTGCTCCTTCATGTTCTTGGAGTAGATGAGAATGTCATCCAGGTACACCACTACGCACTCGTCCAGCAGGGGTCGAAGGATGTGGTTCATCTCCGCCTGAAACGTTGCTGGTGCGTTGCAGAGTCCGAACGGCATCACCAAGTATTCGTAGGAGCCGTATCTCGTACGGAACGCCGTTTTGTGGATCGAGTTGTCCGCCATCTTGATCTGCCAGTAACCCGACCGTAGGTCCAGCTTCGAGAAAACTGTTGCACCACGTAGTTGGTCCAGTAAGTCGTCGATGCGCGGTATGGGGTATTAATTTTAACTGTCTGTTTGTTCAGTGCGCGGTAGTCGATGCACATCCGTAAAATGCCGCCTGGTTTTGGTGTGAAGAGAACTGGTGCACCGTAGGGAGATGTGGATGGGCGGATCAGTTGTCTGTCCAGTAAATATTCGATCTGTTTTTTCATGTCTGTCAGCTCGGTCGGACTCAGTCGGTATGGTGCACGTGAGACGGGTTTCGCACCTGGTTCCTCCACGATCTCGTGCTCGTGGGTGCGTGCTGGAGGTACGCCTGCAGGTAGGTCGTCGGGCATGATGTCTTTGTACTGCTCCAAGACTTCTTTCACTGCTGCGGGTAGCTCGGAACCCGGTTTCACCTCTTCTGCTGCTGCCATGACCAGTGCTACGTAACCCGCGTCGCCCTCGTTCACCATCCGTTCGAACCGTGCCAGTGTTGTTTCCGGAATGTCTCCTGTATCCGTCCAGCTTCGTAGTGCTATCCGCTTCCCGTTGTTGTAGATGCACACCTTGCTGTTGACCCAATCGATCTCGGGGTTGAACCGCTTCAGGAAATCTCGCCCCAAGATGAAATCTAACCCTTTGATGTTGGTAACAGGTAGCTTCGGCTTCCATCTCAACGCACCTATGTGCAGCTGCAAGGTTGCTTCGCCGTCGATTGGAAGCTTCGTACCGTCCACCATGGTTGCTGAAAATTGGGTCTCCTCCGCCTTCTCTCCAATTTTCTCCAATGCTCCGCGGTCACATACTGAGTGAGATGCACCGCTGTCCACCAGTGCCTGGAGGCGTCGCCCATTGCATAACACCTCGGAGAGTAGTGGTTTCTGCTGCGCTGAGTAGCCAAAGAGGGTCTCATTAATAGGATCATAGGGTACATCAAAATGAATACCTTCCCTACTTCCTATACCCGACTCAGCACTTTCCAACTTCACCTGGGGGGTAGGAGGATCTTTCCGAGGCTTGTATAATTTCTCTTGAGCCTGGATGTCTCCTCTAAGCCTTTGCAGCTGTGTAGGCTTCACCTGTGGGCAACGGGGAGCCTTAACACTACGCTGCGGGGAGAGAATATTAACACCACGGAACGCACGACCCTTTTCTACGCTCCGTAATACTTTGCCCAAATTTGCAGGTACCTGAATAATTTCTAAAGGCTTTTTCTTGGCCTTTAATTCTCCCCTGAATTTTTCAAAGGCTTGAAAACCACGAGAAGCAATATTTTTCGTTAGAGTATCTTTATAGGATACTTTTAACGAATTCTTACTTTCGTGGGGGTCCGGCTGGAGTTTCCCGGTCGGTGCAGAGTCTTTTTTCGCGGAGCCACCAGTCGCCTCGGCGATTTCCCCTGATGCCGGCCGGTCGTGACGTTTTATATTCGCGCCATCATTTTCTCCTTTTTTCGCCCGCTCCGAAGTCGCCACGTCGTCGCCCTTTTTCGCTTTTCGGATCTTTACGCGATCGCCAGTTCGATCCGCGGCTACTGGCGATTCCCGTTTTTTTACTTCGGGGGTGCTCCACTGTTACCGCCCTGCATGATCGCACGTACTTTCTTCATCTTGTAGCACGACAAAATCTGATGCCCTGCTGCGCCGCAAAATTCGCATTTGGTCGGCTGCTGCTTCGCGTCGAATTTGTCGATGTCCATCGGTTCGGCGAACGTGGGGGGTGCCGATCGCTCCGTGCCGAATGTACGGTTCGGCGCGAAACGTCGTGTTTCGGGTTGACCTCGGGTCAGCGCGTCGTAACGCTCGGCTGCACGCACGATGTCTCTGTAGCTGTCGTTATTCGCCGCGATCACCTGCCGCCGAATCTCCAATTTTAACCCTTCTGTGTACGCCTGGATTTTTTCGCCTTCGGTCAGGTCGGGGATGCGGGTGAACAGGAGCTCCATCTGCTGCGTGTACTGCGTTACACTACTGTACTGCTTGTGCCGATGAATTTGTTGTCGCGCCATGTAGGTAGTATTAATTGGTTCGAAACGCCCGATTAATTCTGCCCGAAACTGCGTCCACGTTTTCTCCCCGCGGGCCACGTCGGTGTTGTAGATCCACTCGAGTGCTGGTCCTCGTAACAGTGTCGCTGCGAGCCGGATTCGTGTTGCGTCGTGTGTCGGGGTCGAACAGCCAATGGCCTCGAAGTAAATTTCGAGGATTGCCACGAAACGCCGGACGTCGGATCCCTTCGCGCTTGGATCGAACGCTTCCGGGAGCCTCGGTCGTGCTGCTTCGAGGTTCGGCGTCAGTGGTGCCATCGGACCGTGAAATGTCGGTGTCGCCACTGCTGCTGGAGTTGTCGGTGCTGCAGTCGTTGCAGTCGCTGCTGCTGTCGTGGCGAGCGCCGGATGGCTTGTCAGAAAAGCCTCGAGTCGACGAAGCGTCGCCTGCGTCTGCTCCATGTCGGTGCGGAGGCTCGCGACGTCGCTCGTTGTCGCGTAGTTGTCGCCCTGGCCTTCCATGCCTGACATTACGCGTCCGAAAAACCGAATCGAGGAGGAGCGAAAAAACACGGAACCGGTTTTACGTACCCGAAATCGATGTTTATCTGCGTCGCCCCCGCGGTTTTTTTAAGACTGGTTTTTAGCGGTCGAAAGAACTTCGCGTGTAAACGAGCTCTGATTACCAAGTGTGAGGATCTAGGATCGAGCTCAGAAAAGAGAGTTTGAATTGAATGATCACCTGGGTACAACACGAGGCTATATATAGGCTCGACACAAGGGGCAGTAACCAGGTGTTACGCGAAGGTTCTGGGGGTCGCGAAGCGTCCCGAACAGACCCTTCCCGAATTCGGTAAAAGGCAATTCGGTGGCAACCGAATAGCCCAGAATTCGGTGTACGCAACCTAGCTCGGTGCTATAACTATAATAAAATATAGGAAAGCACCTAGCCTAGGAATTCAAGCAATTCATGCATGCATAAAATAAACCTAAGCTAGAAGTAGCATAATAAAGTAAAGGCAAGCATGCATAGCTGGCATAAGCCGTCGTACTCTCACACATTGCCTCCTTGACTTAGCGTAGCGTAGCGAGCGTAGCGACGGGTGGCGTAGCGTAGCGTCAGAAAACATATGCACAAACATCAACAGCGGGAGGAAAGGGGGAAATCTAGGGTTTATAAGTCGCATCTTAGACTGGATAATCAGGTAGAGAACTTGTAGGGTCTAGGAACCAGGAGCGTGCTTCTGCGGAACAATGGAAAATAAAAAATAAAATCAAGGGGGTAGAATAAAAAGTGTGGATATTAGCACGCGAGGAATACATGCGTAGAGGGGAATCAGGGGAAAAGTGAAGAGTGCATACCTGGTGGACGTTTGGTTTGGTTTGGTTTGGTTGAGTGTGCTGACGTGTAAATTTCGGCGGGTGAGGTTTTGTTTTCTATTTACAGCAACATCACTGATTGGCTCAAAATGATGTTATGGCTCACACGTCACACCTTTGACGAAACCAGATGCCTTCTGTGCGTTGGTTCGAGTCGTTGGGGTTCACATTCGAGAACAAACAAAAACTTTGTATCCACTTTTAAAACACCGTTGGACTTCGTGGGCTGTTCGAGGATTCGTTTGTGTTCGTTAATTCTGTAGTTACATGTCGCTGAAGTTTTATTTCTTCTTAACCGCCCCCAAAATCTCTCAACCGCGCGACACCCAGTGACACGATAAAGTTGACGGAAAAACAACTTCGGGGTGACAGTTTTGTGTCTGTGCGATCGTTCGCGAATGGTGTACAGGATGTTGCATTTTGCGCGCGCTGTTTTTTGGAAACTTCGCGCAGCATTTCCACAATTCTTTTGCAGAAAAACCTGCCCAACGGCGCACACCAGGTATCCTGCCCCTTGTGCCATTCCGCGTGTCAAGAGCTTTCCACCACGGGCAGTACAAGCGGCAGTACCAGCAGCAGTACCAGCAGCGGCAGCTGCAGCAGCAGCAGCGCGTCTACTGGGAAGGAATCCCTGCGAGGTGAGGATGGAGAAGGGCTGTGTAATGAGGATGCTGCTGCTGTGAAGAGTGGGGTGGGGACGGTGGAGATCGAGAAAGTCTCTCTCGACTCTGCGAAGGGGCAGACAGACGGCTGCGCGGAAAAAGGTGACGAAAATGATGAAGCTGGTGGGGCCAGACAGGGAGAGCATGGCAAGAGCGCGCAGGATTCTTCGGAAACGAAGGCAGAGGCAGGAGATATGGTAGGTGAGGGAGACGTTGGGAAAGGCAAGGGGAAACTGGGAGAGATGGAAGGTGTTGGAAAGGAAAAGGTTGTGGCAACTGAGATGGATGGCGGCGATGGTGAGGACGATGGTTCGGTCAGGGCTGGCTGTGGCTGTAGCTGTGTTGCTCATCGCGGAAAAGGGAGGTGCTAAATTTTCGGGCGCTTGGGGTTTTCTATGAAAAAAACATACAAAAAGTCCCAGCCAGTACACAAAACATCCCATAACACAGGTGGCGCAAATGTCACAAAACGGCCCAACCCCTCCGGGAGAAAACGGTTCTCGGCAATCGCGCCGCACATTTTATCTTGCGAGTCGCACCTCGCCTCGAATCGCACATTTAGCTTTCGCGCGTCAATGTATACTGCGAATGCAGCTCCGTCATCACCGCTGTACACCAAATGCCCTCTTTTAATACATTCCTAATTGCACTAGGAAGCCCGACTACACCCTTTGGACACCACTGCTACTGTTATATGGGCTGCAACATCCTGCAAACGATTGACACCTCTGGACATCTCTCACCATTTACGGGGTCCTCCTCATGTGTCAAATGAATTAGCGTCAATTGCGTCTATATCTGTGTACATGACCTCATAGAACTAACATGGCACAGACAACCCACCCCCCCTCACTCTGTCAGCAGGAACTTGTTCAGGAGCATGACGCGCTTGTTCACATATGACTTGCACACGTGCACCACCCTCTGGATGCACTCCACTTCCACCACCGCATATCTTGTTCTCACATGCCCCGGAGTCAGCTGCAAGCATGTCGTCAACGGGCACATGTCCTCTGCCTCGTAGTACTTCACGTACACGTGCCGCCCCATGGCGTCGTCCGCCCCGTTTGCGTGGAAGATGCAGAGGCACCTTGTGTACCACTCCTCTTCGTCGGGGTTGGTCACTGCAATGTCGGAAAACCACCTCTCAGAAGGGCTGGCCTTCACAAATGTGCCATTCGGCACAAGCTCACCCCCTCGCGTTCGTGGGATTGCCACGGCGGTATGCACCTGCGTACGCTGGTCAACAGAGATGGAGGACAGTGGATGCGGTGTTGACTCAATACAGCTCTTAGGCACTACCATCACACAGGCCCTCCCTGCGTTGCCTCTACCATCACCCAGCCCTCAAATGTCCAACTACGTTCCCCACCTCAATGATCGTGGTGGGAATGCCTGCCGCCCTCATGCACCCGGCGAGTGCATCCATGACGGACCCATGAGCCTCGTGATACGCCCACATCACCGCGTCCAGGTCTTCGTCCACGTGCGCCCTCCGTGACTTCTTCGTTAGCACGGGCTTCAGTGTTCGCACGACCTATGTGCACACAAAGACATGTAGGCATCCAGTGAGGACCCGTTGTCACAACACGAGCCCTTCATCAGCACATTATGTTCCTTTTCGACACCCCTCACCCTCACCTCGCGCAGCACTGTGACATACTGCCTGTTTCCGCCACCGTCCGCCGCCACCTTCCGTGCAATCTCGCGCTGCACCTCCTCCTCGACAATACGGCGGGGGATGTCATACCAGTTGCTGCCACGGACCGGCACTTTCACGGTGCCCTTGTGTGTGTGCTCCCAAAGGTTGGTGGAGGTCTCGTGCGGCAAACCACGCAGTGGTATGCCGTCAATCAAGTGCACGATCTGGTGCACCTTTGGGATGTTCCAGTCTGACGTCTAGTCAGGGAAAGCGGCCTTGATGGCGTCCACCATCCTGCATGTGCACATGGGAATCATGCTCAGGCCAGAAAGACCACCTATGGCCATCATCACCCCCATGCCCCCCTACAATGCCGTGTATGGCCTGGAGGCCACCCTCAACGCATCAATAATGGGGAGGGTACGTACTGCACTGCCATCTCTCGGACGTCGTCCAGTGACTCGTCAGTGTGCTTTGTCTCGCCCACCAACGCCTTGTAGAAGCTGGCGTACGCCACAAACGCCGCGACCTCCCGTTCCCGTTTCTGCTTCACCTGTGGCTTGCTCTTCTCCATGTTGCCTGCGATTAGCAGTGGCATCACCTGCATCATCCCCTTGTTCTCGAATGCGGCGTAGTTCGCCCCTGTGCTGAACCAAGTGGTCCCCCCCGGGATGCGCACCACACTTGCCCGCGTGTCCTTCTTTTGCTCTTTGCGGCGCCTGCCATGCGATGAAGATGGGGTCAGCAAAGCCTCATAACGACCACGACCTTGTCGTCATTCCTATCCATACCCACCTCTCGAACTCACGCCGCTCCGGCTTGCTCTTCCCAACCATGAAGCACTTGCCCATGCGTGGCAGCATTCCCCCATCCAGGACATGGAGAAGGTCCGCCGCGCACGCGAGGAACACGTTTCCCCACGTTGTCCAGCGAAGTTCCACCTCTCCAGATATCACTGCCACACATAACAACAGCGCGCATATGAAGTGACGTGGCGTCACCACGCCAAGTGCAACATTTCATGTCTGGGAGCATACCGGGACTGAAAGTGCTCACCTGCACAGGGTGTGTGGACAATCGTCTCTTGATTTTCTCCGCCTCCTTGCTGTCGTCAGCCGTTTGAATTGCCGCCACAACACGTCTGTGCAGCTCCACCGTCCGCACCACCGACTTCTGTGCGAGGTCTGCCAGATGTGTCTCCTTGATGTAGCACGAGGAGCACGGCCGATGTGAGCCTTGCTGCATTGTCGCAGTAGACCGCGACGACTCTGGGAAGTCCCCCAGCTGTCAAGTTCTGGAAGGAGCTTATGGGACTGCTGGGGACCAAGCTTGCCATGTCTTCAGCATACCATCCCCAGACTGACGGACAGACGGAGCGACTCAATCAGGTGGTTGAACAGTTACTGCGTACAGCTTGCAAAGACGACATCAGCCACTGGGACACACAGTTACCGACCTTAGAGTTCGCTTACAACAACGCCTCGCATGCGGCCACAGGGAAAACTCCTTTCTTCCTGTGTTACGGACGGGAACCACTCACACCACAGCAGCCAACCACACCGGCATGCGTCCAAGCCGCACACGACTTCGTCACCACCGTGCAGCAGCTATGGGAGAAGACTCAGAGACGCCTCACCACGATGCAGAACTCCCAGAAGTAGTATGCCGATCGCCAGCGACGAGATCACTCAGTAGCAGTCGGAGATCAGGTGCTTCTTGACACGCGCAACTTGAACCTGTCTCACCTACCATCCAAACTCCGGCCTCGCTTCTGTGGTCCTTTTTCTCGTAGAGGCACATGTGACACCAGTTACATTCCGCTTGCGCTTACCAGATACGTGGAAGCTTCACAATGCTTTCCATGTTCAGCTACTAAAACCCTACAAGGACCCCAACCAACAGTTCCAGGGACGGCAGCTACCGCCACCTCCACCTGTTCTTGTGCAAGATGAACCAGAGTACGAGATCGAGCGCGTTCTCACTCATCGGCGCCGCGGCGGCAAGACCCTCGAGTTCCTGATACGTTGGAAGGGATACGACCCCACTGAGGACAGTTGGGTTGCAGAAGCTGATATGGGCAACGCACGCCGTGCTCTCAAGGACTATCTTGTCAAGCAGGGTGTATCTCACGCCACCCAGCTTTGAGGGGGGGACGTGTGAGAGTACGACGGCTTATGCCAGCTATGCATGCTTGCCTTTACTTTATTATGCTACTTCTAGCTTAGGTTTATTTTATGCATGCATGAATTGCTTGATTTCCTAGGCTAGGTGCTTTCCTATATTTTATTATAGTTATAGCACCAAGCTAGGTTGCGTACACCGAATTCTGGGCTATTCGGTTGCCACCGAATTGCCTTCTACCGAATTCGGGAAGGGTCTGTTCGGGACGCTTCGCGACCCGCGGAACCTTCGCGTAACACCTGGTTACTGCCCCTTGTGTCGAGCCTATATATAGCCTCGTGTTGTACCCAGGTGATAATTCAAACTCTCTTTTCTGAGCTCGATCCTAGATCCTCACAAGCAAGCAAACCAAGTATAAGCCATCGTATTCTCACAATGAAGATGTCTGCAGTGTTGGCCACTGGGTCAACGAAGTCCAGACGTGCCTAGCCGCGTCGCTGCAACTCTCGCAGGAGAAAGTACCTTACGTCGATGTGCTTCACTTAGCTCTCCAGTCGAGGCTCTCATTAGGAGGATCATAGATTTGTAGTCAGCAAACAAGGTCGGTGCAGAGCTCGGCCGCTCACCAAGGTCGGTGAGCAAGAAGATCAACTAGCAAAGCTCCTGCACAGCCATGGCACCAGCGTTGATCTCCGCCTCTACGCTGGACTGTGCCACAAAAGATGACCGCGTAGACCTCTACGATATAGCTCCAGCGCCCAAGCTGAAGCAGTAACCCTGCGTAGACCTCTGAGTCTCAACGTCGTCGGCGTAAGAAGAGTCGCAATGACCGATCAACACAACTGGCTGTGTCCCTCCAAGCACAAGCCCCATGCCTGATAAAGCACCCTCACAGCAGCCGTCTACTGATCAAGGCGGTGTCCCCCAGTCACAACAAAACGAGACAGGATGCTGAGGGGAAAGGCGAGGTCCGGGCGAGTACAGGTCATCAGGTACATGAGGCAGCTCACAAGCTCTGTGTAGGGACCACTATACTCAAAGGGTTCATCCGGAAAAGGGTTGGTGGGTCTATGGTTGACGGCAAGAGGAGTGGGCAAGCTGGTGGAGAACTGAAACTTGAACCGCAGAAGGACTTGCTGCACCATGTGTGACTGTGAGAGTGTAATGGTGCGAGCAGCTCTGTCCCTGGTGATCTGCAAGCCAAGGTAATGGCGCAGCTCGCCTAGGTCAGTGCACGTGCGTCTCTTTTGCAACTCGGATTTCACCTCAGCCAGAGCGACCATGTCTGCTGTAACAAAGACGGGTCGTCGACGTAGACACGAACAAAGAATGGAGTGGAACTGGTTCGAACATACAACGACTAATCGGCGGACGAAGGACGGAACCCAAGGTCAAAAAAAGTGGTGCGTAGCATGTCGTGCCACTCACGGGGCGCCTGACGGATACCGTAAACTGGTCGCCTCAGACTCCACTGGGCCCAGGAGGGAAAGTGGGTGTCAGTGAAACCAGGAGGACGGCGCAGCCAGATCTCCTCGTGTAGACTGCCCAAGAGAAAGGCAGTGGAGAAGTCGAGGGAGTGCATCTCGTAGTCTCGCTGTGCTACAATGTGGAGTAACACCCGAAGAGTAGCCATTTTCGAGGTCGGGGCGAAAGTTAGGAAGAAGTCCACTCCCTCGCGCTAACTAAAGCCACTAGCCACATAGCGCGCCTTGAAGACAGGTGGTGATCCCTGCGGCCAATTAACCTTGAAGATGCACATGTCATCGACTATGTTCGCCCTAGGCTGTGTTGACGTAAGTGCCTGTTGATCTCCAAGACGCCATCTCTTACTCCATGGCCGCTATCCACTAAGAGGCCCATTGTCCTGACACTGCCTCACGGTACGTGCGAGGAGTCGGTATGTCAAGAGCATCGGGGTCTCCCTCAGAGGCTAGCAGCATGGCACACAGATGGGGACAAGCGGTTGCCAAGAACTTCAGCTCAAACTGCCTGTCCTTTAGGACGTCATAGCCAAGGGCAGACTCACCTCCGACGGACCGAGGACGGGCACCCACCACTTGCGTGGCGTAGTCAAGGTGGCGGTTGGCGGCAAAGTCAGCGACAGCGGCAGCAAGAGCCGAGATGGACGACGGAGAGGCACGAGGGTCCGTGACTAAAGAGGCAAGAATACATGTGACAACAGGACGGGTGGCACGGTAGTAGTCAGAGATAGGGGTAGAGGTGGAGGCTGTGAGAGATGACTCAAAGGGTGACAGGAGAACAGACTGAGGCTGAGAACGACGATGACTTGAACAAAGTAAGACAGTGCGGAGGCCGTTAAAAGGAGACGAGAGACGTGCAGTGGAAAAACGAATTGTCTAGTCATGCGGAACAATAGGAGGAGACGTCAGTGACCGAGGAGGAGAGAAAACAACCAAAGACGAGTCCGGGGGGGGGGGGGGGACTATAAGCAGGAGGAGATAGTGAGTGGTCTAGGGAGGAGAAGGAAGACCAAGGGTCCTAAGGCCACTCACAGGTAGAGACAACGGCTGCAAGGGTGGCGGCTGCTGCTGCCGCCGCCATCGCAGCCGCCGCCGCCGCAGCCGCCGCCGCTACAACTGTTCCTCCTTCTGCTGCTGCTCCTGCAGCTGCAACCCCCACTGCTGCTGCTCTAGCTCCAGCCTCTTCTGCTCCAACCTCTCCTGCTCCTCTCGCTCCAGCCGACAAAGCTCCTAGAGATGGGTCGGGTAGCAGTAGGGAGGGGGAGTATGCACCACGGAAGTAGCGCCTCTAGCTCCAGATCCCTCAGAAACAGCACCTCCAGTGCCAGTGCCGACAAGTTCAGCACCCCCAGACTCAGCACTGGCACCCCCAGCGCTAGCACGGACAGCTCCAGCACCCCAGAACTAGCACCTCCAATGTCAGTATCCTCAACTCCAGCACCCCCAGAACTAGCACCTCCAGTGCCATTACCCTCAGCTCCAGCACCCCCAAAACTAGCACCTCCTATGCGAGTACCCTTAGCTCCAGCACCCCCAGAACTAGCACCTCCAGTGCTTGTATCCTCAACTCCAGCACCCTCAGAAATAGCACCTCCAGCGCTCGTGCCTCCAACACCAACACCTTCAGAGTCTACTGCAACCTGTCGTGGTAGTGCCGAAGTCCGCTGCGGTGACTGTGAAGACGACTGTGGTGAAGGAAACGCTACTTGACGTGCTACTGTGTGGAGAGGGTAGCGTGGGACACACCTGACGGAGCAGGACCAGGGGGGGGGGAGGAGTGTACCGGAGGAGTGGGAGCAAGAGGAGAAGTGGGAGCAAGGAAAAGGGGAGGAGAGGGAACCAGGAGGCCTCGACAGAGGTACCAGGTGTAGTGAGACACAGACTCGTCAAATTGGACGTCGCGAGAGTCGAGGAACCGGTGGAAGGGTGTGTGAGAGTACGACGGCTTATGCGTGCTTTACTTGCTTGATTACACTTTCTTATGCTTTATCTAGCTTAGGTTTTTTTTATCTTGCATGCTTTTCCTTGATTCCTTGATTTTATCTTTCTATATTTATTATAGTTATAGGCACCGAACTAGGATAGTGTGCACCGAATTTTGTGCTTTTCGGTTGCCACCGAATTGCTTTCTACCGAATTCGGGAAGGACCCGTTCGGGACGCTTCGCGACCCACAGAACCTTTTAGTAACACCCAGGTTACTGTCTTTGTATCGAGCCTATATTAAAACCTCGTATTGTACCCAGGAAATCAATCAATTCATTCTTAACCAGTTCCTTCGATCCCCACACTTAGGAATCTGAGCGTGTTTACACGCGAAGTTTTTTGACTGCTAAAAACCGACCTTTGAAAAACCGCAAAGGCGACGACGAAAGCACCGATTCAAGTATGTAAACCAGTTCCGCGCAATTTTATCAGTCCCCTCGATCCAGTTTTTTAACCCCCCTCACATTTATTGGCGAAAAGGTTGGAATTTCGACCGCCAGATCTATTTGAATCTCAACGGTCTTGAGAATTTCGACCAGAAAAGTTGGAATTTGAGCGTCGGATCGACTTCCTTCTCAACGACCAACATCGGACGCAAAATTAATTAAGGGAGAATAACTCGACGTATAGAATCCACGCTCGCTAATTCGACAGTCGA